TAAATCAATTCTGAAAATTCGATGGACCTGTTCATGAATTGATGCTTGAGGTGTGATTCTGTGAAATTTCACATTCTCAACTGTTACTGTCTATGAGTTATGATTTTTTCGGTGTGCTGCTGTAACTGTCAAATTCGTGGACACAACACTCCAAAAATGGAGGCAAACCCCGGCCCCTTTTTTTAGCTATTTTCTTCATCAGCGCGGTGCAGCCAAGTGCAAAGATGGGCAACATTTGTTTGCCGAAAATAGAAAACTACATATACGCACGGGTCTTCTGACTGGAACCACAAATGTGCGGTTGGCTCCTGTAGTGGCTACGTGCGTATGTGTTGTTTCCTATTTTCGGCAAACAAGTGTTGCCCATCTTTGCACTTGGCTTCACCGCGCTGATGGCCAATAGTGATCACCTGATCACCCGAAGATATCTATTATAGAATAATATCCCACAGTAGTTCAGAAAATTTCATAGGAGTCTAGCGACCTTGTTGTGTAATTATGGATTAAACTATCGGATAAGTACTAACTGTAAATGGATAGAAATGTACGATTCTGAATGTATATTCATTATTTTTATTGTCTCCAGAAATCACTAAGTAAATCGATTGAACATGAAATTTTCTTGCAGGACCACTTTCTGAACTCCCAATGACAGGAAAGTGTCTACTGCTCTGTCCTGTTCTGTATTTGGCTCCATCCCACTTGACTGCAAGTATTCAACTTCGCGGCAAGAAACAAATTACCTCATACCCAAAAATATTTCACTTGTATTTTTCAGGTACAGTGACGAAGCCCTATATTCCAACACTGAATAGGTGTCATTAAAGTCGTCTGTGCAAGAAAAGTCATCAACTTCAAGCCCGCGGCCCATTAGCCGCGAAAATAAGAGTTTTCAATTCCGTGCCGCGATACTTTAAGCAGATGATGAGGGTTTCTGCCGTTATGGATCGTATTTCTTAATCTTATATATGAATTTTCCCGACATTTCGTAATTGGAACTCCGATATTTGAATATCGTAGCGAAAGGAATGGAATGAAATACGGTCGGAATTTATATTGGATCCAAGTGAAAGCATCTGCTATTGCTCTGGCAATTCGCGATTTTCCTCCGATTTTCTCGGAAAAAAAAATTAACGAGTTTGATTAGTCGCGTGTAACTGACTTTGATGTATTGGAGAAGCATATATAAAATTCGGGATGATAAGACAACATTTCATCATTCTGTCGATCCTTAAGGATGTATGTCACTTCCTCAGGCTTATCGTTTGAGGACTTTTGAGTCCAGCAATGCATTGGTGGTCCAGCATAGCACCACTGATGAGACCTATGGCGAGTTGAAACAGCGCTATCTGGTGTTGAATCAATGGTACTCAGTTGAATGTTATGATTTGTAATCCATTCCATAACGACATTTGTTTAAAGAATGCTTTACACCCGCCAAAAAAACTTACCTGAATACTTAATGAATGTATCGGAGTTCCAGAGGATAGGACCAGACCAGCGCCAAGTTAGGTAAAACAAATTAATAATGACATTTATTCACCACACGTGAATGAGTGAATGAATAAAATGAAATGAAATAGAATAATAGCTTCAGTATGAATGAAAGAAGTTCGATTAGTTAACGCTAATCTTCCTCAGGAACCTGCTATACAGAAAAAAGGCTAAACATTACAGATCAAAAACTTCCAAAACAGTAATAACATGATTATTTCTAGAAAATTGAGAAAAAATGAAAGAAAGGGAAAAAAAAGCTTTTCCAAAATTAATGGTAAATACATTTGTCTCTTCAAATATATCACGAAGATGTTTGGGAAATGAAGTTTTTGTCTTTTTACTACTCCATCTCGATACAAAAATGTGGGAGTCTTCCAAAGAAAGGAAGGGAGTAATAAATTTGAAAATAAGTAACTCTATACATGGATGTGTAGATCATGCAAAGAGCAAAGAAGCAACTTTCCGACACAAACTGGGAGAAAGCCCACTTGAAACAGCTACTTTCATATAAACATTGCATTACACGAAAGAAAAAAATTCTTTCGAAACAAATACTTTTATATGAATACCGAAATATACAGGACATACTTTTTTCACTCAGTTTGTATTCCAAACATTCGATATGAAATAAAATCAGATATCATTCACAAGAGTTCTACTCTGAACGAATGGTAACAAATTGCATTTACATGGAACACTGTCATCCTCACTGGTAGACATCGATGTTTCGCTATGAGACACTTGCCTTAAGGCTCTTAAGACACTACCAAATTGGATAATATTATAGAAAATATACACGATTCATTCATGATTTACGATTTTCAATGTCACAGAATGAGTTTGATCTACTTATGTCATCGATGACCTCATAATGACATTCATTCACCTATGTGATCAAATCCCAGCCAAGAAAAATCTTATTTGAATTAAAGGGATTATATTTTCAAGAGTGAATAATTTTTGGGAAAGAAAGTTTTTGGCTTTCTACTACTTCATCTCGATACAAAAAATGTGGGAATCTTCCAAAGAAAGGAAGGAAGTAATCAATTTGAAAATAGGTAACTCTATACATGGATGTGTAGATCATGCAAAGAAGAGAGGTCGAAAAAACTTGAGGATGGAGGAGCGAGCGGGAAGATGGAATCAACCCAGAAAATATTTTTTCTGTATACGTTAAAGAAACTTTTGAGTTTTGATTTAAACATGATATTCAGCATTATAATAATGTTTCAATAATATGTTCCTCTCGAGGCGATAAATTACAATGTTCGTCATTGTGTAAACGTAAATCACATATGTATCATATTTACTGCTCGGAAAGTATGTACAAGATTGAAAATTTTGAGTATCATGATCAGCGTCATATCAACATCATAAAAAATTAGTCGAATTGTATTTGCTTCACACATCTCATTGAAATTATATCACCACTATTCACACATATATTTATATTATACATATCCTTGCTAAGCGAACAATCGATGAAAGTCTTATAAATACTTCGCTGCGTCTGATGGGAAAAGCATGTACTCAATCAAAACTTGGAAATATTGGAACGTGTATAGAAATGTGAACGGTAAAAAATATTTTTAGGTAAATCAAATAAAAAACGTGACGGTATATGACACATACCACTTGGTGAATAAGTATTGAATAATATTTTTTAAATTCATCATTACACACTGTATTGATAGTGTTTTTCAATATCTTGCAATGACTCTGTTTGATTTCTATTATTAAGGAAATGAAATGTCCTGAATTGAAATATACGTATTTTCATCTGATCATAAGAACTTCTGGCATGTTCATACTGAACACGTCCAAAGGAGCTATTATATAAACACTTGTTGCAAGTTTGTAAACATGTTCTCATGCCATATCTGATAATGCACATCATGAATACACCGTTGCCTAAATGCAGAACTATTATATGTCACAAAAAGGTTTTTTTTCAGGAGAGGTTTTTTTAGTTTGACGGAAGAAACAGTTATTCATCACGACTTTGCTATATCATTGGGTTTGAAATGAGCGGTATGAAACTGGATCAATCAGTTTTGATTCATCAATCAACAAATTGGAGAAGAAAATGGACTTGCAATAGTGGACTGTTAACGAAGTATGGTATGTCCTTTTCGATGGAATTGTAATTATAGTGATTAGGGAGTTAAAATGATTCTGATTCCACATAAATTAAATTTATTTTTCTGGTAAATGAAATCAGTCAACAAATAAACAACAAAATGATCAAATTGAATGGGCAAACAACTATGGATCAGTCACTATCTGATTCTGCAGCACTAGAAACATGTTTTGCACAAACTGGTAAGTTTTTGAAAAAATCGTGGTATTGCGATTTAATAACTCCTTTTTCACAAAGAAATTGCAAATGATCAAATTTTTTCCTCACAAGAGGAATTGGTTCTTGATACAGGGGGCTAGCTGCACATCACTAATGTCAACGGTGGTGTTTTTTGTTCTTCTATTTTTTTTTATCATATTCATTTTCTTGAAATTATTTTGATCATACTCTCTTTTGAACAGGAGGAAGTTTGGATAATTGGGATTCGTTTCAAATATTTCAATTGAAGTTATATATATACCAAATCGCCATCTTCATCACGATCACGAGCAAACTTAATGAAGTGTTGTGACTGAAAACTTTTGGGATCATATAAATCAGATTGAGATAGCTCTTGTACGTTATATGGATTTGCTCTTCTAGCTAACCGTACTATTGAAATACACTGATCAGGAGTATAAACTGGTACACGTTTTGATGCTCGTTCAATCATACTATGAACGGAGTCCCCTCCATTTTGGGTATGACCTGGTTCTAAGTAGGTATGACGAATTATTAATGAATATTTCAAAGTTGCATAATTATATAAGGCATAAAGATATTTATTTCTATTCTGACCTCCACAGTTGCCGAAAAAAAATTAAAATTCTTTAACGCCTTTCTGTACATAGCTATGAATGTAATTCAACAGACAACTGCCTATTTCGCATGCACCTGTCTTTGCAATGCACTCATGCCACATACATCATTGGCAATCTTTCGTTCCTAAATCATAAACCATGAAATTATATGTCGAGAGCTTTGATTTATAGTATGCCAAACCGACATCTGATTTTGGAACAGGCAGTACTTGTTGTAAGTCGAATACAGCTGCACAGAAATCAGTTTGCGAAGATGCTTTCGTTTTTCGGAATCTTTCATAATCCGTGATAGCTCTTTATTTTTCATGTGTTGATTATACTCATCCTCAATTGACAGACGGAATGTTTCTGTAACACTATCATACCTATGGCATACATCACACAAATCCTTTTCAGGTACAAAGAATGAAAGGTTGTGTTCTCTATTGAAAATATGTCTGTACATACTTTCTGTTGCAACGATAGACATATAATTTGTACGGCAATATTCTTGATGAAGAGTATACATCTTAGCGATATTCAATGTATTGGGCAAATATTTTCTATTGGTTGTTGCCCTGCAATAATGACTTTCTACAGTTTCAAATGAATTGATATGATCCCTCACAGTCTTCTTCACAGACTCGTCTAGTTTGCTATTCTTACACGTTTTTTCTCTCCTGTCTTCCATTACTGCACCTGAACGTCCCATTTCAGAAAAAACAGTCTCCACCATCTGTCCACTTATGCTGAGAGTATTCAGAAAAAATGTATTGCATACTTCGAGTCTTCTACTTGGAATTTCATTTTCCTTCGCTTCTTTCAGCTGGCGAGTTCGTCCCTTTTGTTTCTTGAGAATAAACTTTGAGAGATAATCCCTGTCTATTTATGTCGCCTAAATTCCAGAACTCCGTGAATATAGATTTTTGAAGTTCCTCTGTGAACTTTGAGTCACACTTTCGTCTACAGTTTGTGCATGGAGCTTTCAGTGTTCTTTCGACCTGTAATGTTCCTTTCCAATTTTCATAAGCCATTCCTCTATTCCTGGAAGTTTTGATGATATTTCCCCTCAAATTCTGTTCATCTCGTTTTCTTTTTCTGGTTTGGAATTTGACCTCTTTATTGGTTTTCCCTCCTTCCTGAGCACTATCATCTTTATGATGGTCAGTATCGTTATCATCAGTAGAAGTATGTTGATTTTCATCAATTAATTCTTCATTTTCTGATGGAACGTAATCAGAGTCACCGTCAGTTGCATGAGGATCTGATTCAGAGGACGAAATATGGAGATCTTGATTCAACCTTTCAAAATTATTCAGTTTAGGTTCTGATTGCTCCCCTTTGTTCGTTTCATTTGGTACTTCACTATCATTGTCCTCGATAGTAGCCGCATCAGAACTGAACTGAACATAATTGAAATTTTGTAGATTTGTTATATCCGAAGCAAAATTTGAACTCTGAGTATAAGAAGTGGTCGTCTCGAATGGTATCAAACTGGGGGGAGGTTGTAAATTTGTAGAGAGTGACATGAGTTCATAGTCAGTATGTGCCTTCGAAGACATTTGGGAGTGATTTTCGTCCACTCTTCTATATTCTTCTGTCGTTTCTGAAAATTTTATTTTGTACATTTACCTCTTTGATGTTAGGACTATTTCTTACCTTCGGAACAGCTCGTGGCTTCTCTAACCAACTTCATTATTTTTTTAACTCTCTGATTGTACATTTTAAACTCCTGTCAGAACTATGGTATGTCCAATTTTTTGGTATTCTAAGAGATTATTCCTAATCAGAACTAGTGTAACTCTAGTTGCGTATTTACACTTACGCTATTGACAGCAGTTACCCTCCTCCTGCAGTGGTCGGAGTAAGACTGATGAAGTTGGGATGGATTTGCATGGAGTCGTGGTGGGGTATATGAGTCAAGTGGGAGTTATGATAGTTCTGCTCGTGTGATAGAGCTGTATTTTGTATGTACAACCATGAAATATCTCAATTTCCGAATTATTTGGAGTTACAATAGTTCTGCACTCAGGCGACGATACATTCAGGATGTTACCGATAATTCAAGTTAGGTTCGTATTTCCATCTTCAACTTTTCATTTTAGCAATGGTAATCTGTACAATCCATTTCCACAGGGTTGGCTGGGATATTCTTGTTACTGGCTTAAAGAATACTTGTATATGCAGATTTATTTGTTTTTTCATCTTCTCCTGAGGCTCTTTGGTCAAAAATTTTCAATGGGCTCCTCTATCCTTTGATTATGTTTTGTATTTACGATTTTCGCTTCTTCTTATATTCAAGGATCTTGAAGTTTCACCTACACAACTTTTACCATAGAAACATGAATACGTCCTTCCATTGTTTCATCCAAATTGTCGGGTTTTTACCTGTTATGAGAAATCTTAATGTAGTGGAATGTTGAAAAATAAGTGCATATCAGAACTGCTTCGAGGATTGGTAAAAACGTATTATAACTGAGGATGACAACTTTGAGAAAAACAAACTAAAAATTGATGAATGAATGAAAGTTTTTTGGAAAAATTTAAATTCACAATATTTTCTGAACAGACAGTGTATTGATGGTTTCAAAAGTTGTTCTGGCATAATTTCTGTAACTGTTCCTTCCTACTTTTTCAGACAAACTGGGATTATGCAAAATACAATTTTCATTTTCATCTATTCAAACTGTTTTCGAAACGCATTTTCCAACAAAATAGTTTTGATAATAGATATATTCTCTTTCAGATCAGAAGTTGAATTTCAAACTGTCTTAGCCCCATCATACAAATATCCGCCTGTTTTGTCACTAACGTAATGATTGAATTTATAGTGGAGACATTCATTATTATGGGTGTCTTTCGATGAAGAATCGTGTGATGATTATTTGTCGATTTTTTTATCACAACTAGGAAACGAAGCACTTGCATTCCTCAAAAACAGTTGATGATCACCCAATAAAATGAAATGAAATGAAAATTGTAACCAAAGTCTGACGAAAAGATATCATTCTTAGGAAGAGCAACAGTCGAACTGTGACATCTAAACATTAAATTTTTTCGACGTTTCTCAAAAATAGTATATATCTATTTCCATTCGAAGAGTTTTCCAGCAATTTTTTCATGTTCTGAGAATGCACAAGGAATAATTTCCGAAAATCAAACCACCCCAATAATCAGTCACTCCTCATGTAAAATTCATGAATACTATAAATTACTGGCTAATTGGACTCTTCATATCACGCTGTAACTTTAAAGGGTGAACTTTTCAGTTTGCTCTTCATTACGTTTAATCAGATCCTTTGTTTTATCAGATAACTTTGTTTACTTCTGTAGATTGTAGAAGGTTGAGAACTCAGAACAATGGCAAGGAAATTGACTTCTCCATTGAATTTGTGTTTGAAAGAATATTCAGTTTTCAAACTTATTAACGCTTTGAATAACTTGTCAAAATTTGTTTTCAGTTCTCAGATTTTATATGAGACATATCATTGAAAGTTTCGTTTTTATTTATTCAACGGCAAAGCCAATTTACAAAAACATATTTAACACAGTGTGAAGAACTACAAAGTATTTTTAAATGCTCATGACTGATGTCTACATTACAATTTACAATTTCACAAAACATTTAGCGAAGTGTAAAACACAAAATATAAATGAATCCTCATTTCTAGTGACTACATTACTAACAGATGAAACAATTCTGGTACTTACAAGAAAAAAGATGTTACAAATTTGGTACTTACAAAGGAAATGCTGTGGTAAAAAAAAACTTTGAAAACGCCATAGCCCTTCAACTGATTTTTGACCTGACCTGACCTGAAGTGATACATTAAACAGATCTGAGTTATCATGATATTGATTTCCCAGCTTCACAATACGAGGAATCAGACTGTTCAAAGCATAATTGATATGGAAAAAATTTATATGAAAAATATCACCATTTCTCACTTCTTTTTGTTTGATTAGAAAAGTTATTAGTTGAAGTAATTCTGGGCAGTTTATCTCACTAATGTTATTAAATTGAACAGGAAAGTCAACTTCATAGAAATTCTCCTATCTTCCAATAATTTTATATTTAACTTGGTTGAGAATTGACTGTTCTCATATTGATATGGTTGAACACCAAAATGAAAAGCACAATTCCTTAAGAATTTTTTTTGAACATCCTCAAACGAATCGATATTTATATTATAGTATGGGTCCCATATAACCGAACAATATTCAAGAATATATTCGAAAGCACAATATGAAATCTTTTTGTTCTAATTGAAAAATCAATAGAAATTCTCAATACAAAACCTAGTATTTTGAGACTTTTTGCCACAATTTCAAATTCAACTACTAGATCGCGAATAAATGTTTATCTTTTGAGAGGTATATTATTCAATGTAGGTATATTCAAAGAATATTGGACTTCTAATTTAAGCGAACGTAATGATTTGACACTTATCGGTGTTTACCTCTGAAAAATTATTTCTACACCACATGGAAAAAACTTCGAGATCTTTTTGAACTAATTCAGCATCTTCCCGGTAAGTAATTGCTCGATAAAGTTTAAGATCATCCGCAAACATAAGAAATTCTGAATATTTGAAAACAATCTCTATGTCTGATACAAACAAGTTCAACAGCAGTGGGCCCAAATCTTAAATTACATTTTTGTTGGTGCATAATCATCATCAGAATAATAAAATTATAGTCAAACAAGCCTCATATGCAATAATTATTGTTAACTGCGCCTCAGACAGACACGAAACAGATTTGTTCAATATGAACTAACATTTTCAGTAATGTGCACAATGCTTCATTAGTATTTTCTCAATGCATATTCCCATCTGCCTTTCAAATTATCAATTTCACGGAGATGCTGCGTTCCTCTAAATCAAAATAATGCATTATTGCTTGTCCCATAATAAATTGAAGTGAACGTATGAGAATTCATAACAATATGTATGCGGAATATGAATCAACATATATAGATAGTCAAAGCAATTCAAATGAGTGTGTTACAAGTTTCTATTCTCACAGATTTATATATAATCATAGCGAATACGGCGCTCAACGGAGGTGGATGAATATTCGCAGGATAGTTTCATACTCCCACGAATCATTAAAATAGATTCAGAAATACCACTATCACATAATGAATTTCTGCTACTCAATTTCCGAATACAAACTCCAAGCAAGGAATTGCCAATTTTTTTTTGTTTTTCCATTCAAGTGTTACGGTCTCATTCGCGTCAACTCAGTCTTTGGCGTCCTTTAACGGTAAGGACGGGATCTCTGGCGGCAGCCTTGTGAATTTTAAATGGCACAAGAGACCACTACATCGGACAGCTACAGTGAAGACACGGTATTCCAGGGGTCTGTGTGAATTAGACTTTGGTAGGATTTCAACACGTTTACCAGCTGCAAAGATACTGTCGCAGAAAGGAAACGGAACAATTCGGTATCAAATCTTTATTTGAACCAAACTCCCACCATCAATATTCAATTGACCATATATACAAAGTAGAAAGGGGCATGTAAGGGAGTTAGAAAAAGCAAACGGTACTAGAGCTTGAACTAGCAACAGTGTGGCAAAAGCGTCTACGTTTTTACTAGCGGTATCACGTACCGTGAGGAGGAGGAAAGCAGATGTTTTAAGAATCTTGAAAGCGCCGGACATCAATCAACCCGAGTCAGTTCCAACAAACCTAGTATGAATACGAACGGTTTTGACTTTTCGACACAATATCGCAGAACCAAGAAGATCCCTGAACGTAAAATGGGAAAGACATGCAAAACCAAATGAAAAATCACAAAGATTCCGAAAAAGAAAAGAAGCAGAACCGACAAGCAATCCACAAAGGTCACGAAACGTAGAAGAAAAAGATAGGCAGAACCAAGTTGAAAATCACAAAGGTTCCAAAGAAGAAGAGAAGCAGGACCAAGTGGCAATTCATAAAGATTTTAAAACGTAGAGAAGAAAAGAAAGCTAGAACCGAATTGAAATTCACAAAGGTTCCGAAACAGAAGAGAAGGAAAGATAAACAAGGAGAAGTGTTAGAGTAGAGGAAACAAACCTTTTCGACGCGCACCTCTACTCGGGGTGAGTACTCACGAATAACTTACTTCACGAATTATCCACTAAGAATTCCTACCTCTGGTGATTCAGACAGCTTCAGCACATAATTTGAATTGGTAGGCTAGAACGAATGTTATTCGGCTGATGCTAGGCTGGTGAACAAATTGAGGAGTCTGCTAATACCACAGATCGGTTATCACTGTCTGTCGTTGATGTCCTCTCGATGCTGCAATGCGCATACTCTATCGGGTATTATATGTCAGACTACGAATATTGGTCAGAACACAACGTTTAACCAGACTAAATGATTTACCAGTTGAACCATTGCCTTGTCTGCCTTCACGGAAGCAGTAGTATCCCGCTACAGCTGCTCTATGCTCTACGACTAATTGGATCGAACTTCATATTTGAGACAGTTTCAGATAATAAATTTTCTGCTGGCTTGTTTTATTTTTGTTTATGGTCTATGAGCCTATCACCTCGGAATCTGATCTCGTGATGTTGGCAGGTACCTATTTACCTAGAGATATTTTTGAAGTCAATAATTTTCTTCCTCTCTTGGAGAGTGTTTAACATTTTTGTATAATGATAGGTAAATTGAAAGCCAAAACCCGTTTTCCGACCGGTGTCAGAAATCGCACGCTGAGAGGTGAGACCGCATCAATTTTAAGATTGCAAAAGTCTCGGCTTCTGGGAGTTGCCGTTCATACGGAGTAGCGACAGATGATTGACGGAAATACACAAATGATATCAATTACCACCCTAGGATCCTTTTCAAAAAGATTCACTGACTCCAAAGTTACAATTTTTATAAGCTCTAACAACAATATCGATGTATGAATGCTAGAAACTGACTGACTAGATGAAAGAAATCAACAGGCATGCTGCAAAATCAAGAGATAGTTCTGAGTTCGCTTCTTCTTTGGTGGTAGCATGACACAGTTCACACAATATTTATATTCAACACATTGCTTTTTATACATTTTCAATTATTGATCTCTCCATTTTTTTTCACTACTCATTTCCTAAATATATTCATTTCTTGTTTTCCTGGTTAGTTTATTGGTCTTTTAATGTTCACGTTTTTATTTGCTGCTCTTTTTTTTCTGCTTCTCTTTGTATTACTTCTTATGATAATTATTTTCACATAATTTAATATCTGAGAATTCGGTCAAAATCGTGAAACTTAGTAATACCGACTTAAGTTTCATCAACTAAGTCGACATCAACAGAATATCAGATCATGATTCATGATATCCCCATTTGTGCCAGAGGTTTTTTTCAAAACTTCAAATCTGACAAGAAATAATTTTCATAATACTCAGTCAGTTAAAACTTATCAATCTGCAGAACCTTCAATTGAACAAAACCGTTGAATTGAAAGCTGCATATGAAATTTTCATAAGATATACAGAATAAATTCGCTATGTATATAATTAGGTGAAACCTTAACATTCCAACTCACGACCTCATTTTTTCATAAAAAAGGGACTGGTATAATAATGATTTTTTGATTAATGATACCTCCATAAGCGGTTGCTTTTTCACTAACAAACTTAACCAAGTTTAATCAACTTTAGAAGTTTGTTTGTGTATTATGAGCCCCTCCATAAATTTTCCAGTTGGGGTCACTCCACTTAGAGAAAATTTGTCATCTTGAGTTAATGAATCTCAAGAAACGAATAATTTTCGAAGATGTGCCTGCTGAAGTTTGAGGTTGATGAAGAATTGAAAGGAAATCCGCCTGAAAAGTTATACGTGGAAAACGATATTTTGATGGATATAGTAGTTACCAATGTTTGACTAAGCTGGAAGCATATAATTTTATTATGATTGAGTTTTTGATTATCGTAGCAATGAATACTTCATTACCTGATGTTGATTAACTAGAGGACATTACCACTTTCACTTTCGACTAATTGATTATACAGTGTGTCGAAAATTGGAAAACTTTTTCATCACCGATTTGTCAGAAGATTTCACCTTTCATATGATTCCATATTTGAGTAGATAGTCTCAATCTAAAAAACTTTCTGTGCAAGGGAACAATTTAAGACTCACTGTATATACAGTATGGGTCAATGCATCTAAATGTTTCGTTCATCTGAGTAGCCAATAAACCATGGCCAATAAGCCATCATTCAAATGCTCTTCGTAAAAGAAATGACCAAGTATGTTTGTTCTCAAGACTCTCAACCAAATATTTATTATGAACCTTTCCATCTATCACAAATGGGATAAAAAATAATATATTTTCTCACAAATTTTTCTAACTTCCCTTCTCAACATCTGTACCACTTCGCAAATTGTACTTCTTTCCGTAATCTCTTTCATTGAGGTGATGATCTTTGTCCTATTCTCCTTTGTCCTATGGCAGTTGAATTTGAGCTTTTTTCAATATTTTTTGAAGATTTTACTAAGTTCGTGGGCAATTTGTCATAAAGAAGAATCCTGAATATAAATATTTTTGTAACTTTATTTTTGTAACATTATGAGGTATAGCTCACCATACATATTTCTTGCTGAAAGAAAATTTCTATGTGATTTTGCGAAGTAAATAACATTTTGAATACATCTTCAATATGTAACCGAGTGCATAAACGTCTGACAGTTCCTAAGAGATATCAATAACTCATTTATATTTGCTGCTATAGAAACCAAGCAAAACCTACGCGTTTAAAATAAGGTAAAGGATGTGAGATGCAATTTAATTGTGATCACCCAACAGTCATATTTTGATCGTTACTTTCAGGATTGATAATTATAAAAATATTCTTTATATAAATTGATTCAGGTGAGATTAGCCTTGAAACAAGGATTACCGTAGAACGAAAATTTCTAAAAAGGAAAAATACATATGAACTCAAAGTGCAATATTTCAATTCACTCAAAATATAATAAACTTAATCGAAATAAAATATTTAACACTTGATATGTTCTTAGATATGTCGAAAGCATTTGACTACTTGAATCACGAGATACTTATAAAAAACTGGAAATCTATTTCTGTTTAAAAAATCTGTTTTTTAGTTAACCAGCTGTCGCACCCCTACAAACGATAACCCTCAGAAGTCGAAACTTGTGCGAGCTAAGGACTAACGAGGTCTTACCTTTAAACGTATGATTCCTAATACGGATTACATGATAGCAAGTGAAAATCGATCGTTCAACCTGGGGCTTGAACCAGCGATCAATACGGCGGTCGATTTGAGTAAGTGAACAAAGCACCCACGTCGAACCCACCGGCTACCGCCCGACCGATATATGGAAAAGAATTGATTCGTACCTAACTGATCGCCAACAAATAGTAACAAATAACAAACATGGTCGAACATGTTATTTTGAGGATGCTGCTGTGAAAGTAGGAATACCCCAAAGAAGCGTTGCAGTTCCCTTGTTATTCATCATCTGCATGAACGATTTATGTTATCATTCAAACACGGATTGAATAATTAGTCTTCGCTGATGACACCAATATATTAATAGGCAGTGAAACATACTCTAAAGTAGTAAAAATAGGTGTGGTAATGTTTAATGATACAGAAGACTGGTTCACTATGAATAGGTTATTTTTGAATGGATCTGAAACTAATATCATACTTGTCAGAACTAATCATATAGAACGACCTCAAAAATTAAATATTGAAAACATTGCGATAGAATATGCAGGAGACACCAAGTTTCTGGGACTTATTATTGATGGATTCTTTTAATGGAACAAATATTGATTATACAGCTAACAAATTGAGCAAAATTGTGTATAGACCAAGGGTGGTTCACATATATCTCAACAAAGATTCAGTAAAAATTTTCTACTTAGCCAATTTTGAGTCTGTAGCTAGATATGGAATCATATTTTGGGGATGCTATAGAAATAATAAAAAAATATTTGTTATTCAGAAAAAGGGTATCAGAATGATGAATAATTTGAAGTATAATCAATTGTATAGACATGTTTTCAAAAATAATAGGATAAAAACGATATATTAATCATTCTATTGAGAAATAGACTCCTGTTCTTCCTATGGAACAGAAATAAATGATTTCGTACTTCGTATACATAGGTTAACTATAACTGAAAAAAAAATCTTCATTGCATGTCAATAAAGCTCCACAATGAATTAACTTTTTCAAAAAATACACTTTATTGTGAGATTTTCACTAAACATAGTGAAAATCTTATGATAAAGTATGTTTATGAATACGTTACTTATGGATTTTCATCAAGTATCGGGTAAGAGAATCATGTTCCCTGAGTAAGCGCAGTGAGTCAAGAATGACTTGATACGGCAAACCAGAATGATTTTTAGATTCGAGGGTAGAGAAAGCATTGTTTTACCAAGGACTCCAATAATCAGAAAGACAATCTTGACAGAGTGGTCTGGAAAGAGTCTGCGGAGTTCAAAGACAAAATCTTGATATCTCAACGTCTCGCTAGAAGCTGAAAACTCTACGACAAATATCGACTTGCTCTGCTGGTCGAGAAGGACTACATCAAGCTTATTAGCTTGTATGAGCATGAGGGGTGGGGAACGAATACTTCCAATTAATTTGGCACTTCTCATGCCACTTCTGTACATGATGACAGCAAGTGCCTTAGGGTCTCGGACGCCTCGCGACAGGCCCTGCACTTTGTGCCAGGAACTTCTTTACTCATCACGCTGCTACAGTGGGCTGGCAGGTCAGTTTATGACTGCAGCTTACTCGACCGGAGTGAAGCGAAAGTCGGGCGCTTTGATAAGCCAAGGTCTTCAATGTCATTGAGGAAGACCCAATGCATTGGCTTATCCTTGTGTTGCTGCAGAAGTGTGGTGATCTCTGCGGCTTTTATATGATCTTTTGTTGAACGGGTTTTAACTCAGTGTCGAGAAATAAACCGAGTTCATCAGCTGCTCGGGCAGCTGCCCTTGAGAGAAATGCTACAATTTCTGCTCTCTCATTGTCGCGGACCACGCAGAGAAGGAGATCCGAACTCCTGATGACTTTACAGGCTCCATCCAGTACCATTCTGTCATGTAGATACTTCAAACTCGAAAGTCCACGGCCTACTTGTTGTCGTTGGAAGAACAACTGTGTAGAATGCTTCCATTTACGAGCTACACATTCTCTCAGTCTTTTTTCGTCTTTTTTTCAGATGCACCATTGCACATTTGTCTATCCCGAATTTCATATCGATAGCATACGTGTACTCTTTCACCACTCTCAAATACTAATGAAGGTCCTTCTCTTCAGAGGCATAAAGTTCAAATTCATCTATATGGAACAAATGGGTGACCTTGTTCCTCCAGTTTTCGGGGGTGCCACAGTTTTACACTCTAGTATTTCTACACGCAAGCAATAGTGAGATGCAAAAGAGAAGGGCACTGAGGGAATCGCCCTGAAATACACCTTTCCTGAAAGTGACCGACTCTGTTTGGACTCTGGCTTGACCAGATGTTATGGTGAAGCGAGTTCGCCAGAGTGGTATCAGATATTCAAAGCATTTCACTATTTTGTCGATTACCGCAAGGTGTCTGTGCAAATGAAAGATGAGATCATGCGATGTTGTATCAAATGCCTTGCGGTGAGCGATCCAGGCCAAAGAGAGGTTACGCTTATACTATATCGAGTCCTGCGTTACACATCTATCGATGAGCAGGTTCTCTCTACATCCAGAGACTCCTCTATTCGACTCTCTCTGCTCCGTTCAAACATTCATTCAACTGCGGGAAGTATTTTTGTGTATGAGATGCTTGAAACCACTCATAACACGAGTTTAATCATGTTATCGGTCTGTAATTCTGTGTAATCGACAAATCTATGAGAGGATGAGAAAAGTCCGCTCCTCGAAAAACCAATCCGGAATTGACTTCTCTTCGTCCAGCCATGAGTTGATAACTCTGGTCAGATGGCGGTGGGTGCTTGGTAGTTTTTTCCACCAATAAGTATCCAGCTCATCTGGGCCTGAAGCAGCAAAGTTCTTGGAACCCACAAGGGCTCTTCGAACGTCATTCGGTGTTATCGTGTTGCGCATTTCATTGAGGTCAGGTTGTCCGAGTCCGAGTCCGAGTTCGAGCTTTTTGCTAAAAGCTTCGAACAGCGCTAGGGCTGGCGTGTGTAAATTGAGTGGCTGTGGGTGTTCATAAATGTCCTTTCAGAAGGATTCCACCTGATCAGCGGTCGGCGGATCATCCACAACACCTGGAGGCTCTTGTGCTAAGAGAGAAGGTTTCTCACGGAGCCTAATGTTGTCCGCGATACTTCGCGCTCGCCTCACTAGTGACTTATTAGCAGCTATTAGCATACGTATCCTATCAAGGCAGTGCTGTTTGGTGGTCAGCAGCACGCCTTGACCCAAAATGTGATGGATATGTCGTTGTTTGGCGGTTATTCGCCGCACTGCGGGGATGAAAGGCTTGCTGGCCGCCCTGTAATCCATCACACATCGAATACGAGACGTCTGTTGTGTCGCCGACGTAATCTTATCCTCCATCTTGTGTACACGCCTTTTAGTCCTCCGAACCGCAAGGCCAGGAATTTTTATTAAGATTCGGAAAGTGATTGGACGACGCTATACACGGCGGTGTTGATTTGCCAGATGTCAGCCCCTTCAGTTATAACATATGAATTTCTGCAACCAAAGAAGCTAGTTCTTGTGGCTTCAGGGGCATAATTGTCTGGAGCACCCTACGTTATCTGATTATCTCAACTGGTGACAAGATGCGAGTCTCCTCTTCAGCCGTGCCAACGGGAGATAGAATTGTCACTCCTACCACTTCCTTAGCAGGCTGGAAAGGAGCTATATAGGCGTGCCGCCGGAGACTGGATACGTAATCCCTAAGCTTTTGGGCGGAAAAGGCGACATGCTCCGGATGTGTTTCACACCACAGAGTATACATTCTCGCCATATACCCTCGTCGCGCAGGCTCACTACTATCGGACCAATGCATAAGGCAATTTCTCACCTCATGCGTGCACTCAAAGCATCCGTTGTTATTGCCAGGGTTGTCATCGGCAAGCAAATCATCGTTATGGGCCCCACCACCTTGCCTCTGATCCCTCCGAGTTAGTCGATTGTGGAGGCCCCTTCCTCGATTCTCAGGAACTAAGTTTTGGTCTAATGGATGGTTAGCCCTGTGGACTCACGGCCGGTACCAAACGGAGATTAGTGTTTTCTTTCCCGGGTGCGCCTGAGCTGCCGGTCCGGTTTTGCACCAGTTGCTCGGGTAAGTGGTGTCACAACTCACCAATGGCCTCAGGTAGTAGTGGTAGGTGTTATTATTTTTAATAGTTTCTCAGAAGTCTATACTGAGACATCACTGAATAATTATTTGCTGATATTGTGATTAACTCATATAGTGCAGTGAAAAGAGAAGTGGTCCCGGCACAGTCCACTGCCGTACGCCTATGTATCCAAGCTATTGGTCAGCTATTGATCCATACGCTTTCTTTACTGAAATCATAGCCATATTTGAGGAGGCAGGACCGGTAGCCTATAAAAAAACTTCCCAAATGAAATAGTGGGGCACAAGGCTAAAGAAGTTACTGCTTTGCCACAGTTTCTGGCATTAGCCGTATGATATTTCGAAACATTTCGAAATGCAATTAATCTCACCAGTGTAAAATTCATATTGTA